TGTTTCTTAAATCTATTTATGCCAGTATTAGAAACATGTCCACATAAATTGTACATAATTTTATTTCTGTCATTCTTATCAGGGTGAACACTATATTTTCATCCCGGATCTCCACCCTTAGTAGACCCTGCAGAAGATATCACAAATTGAAAAAATAAAACTCAAATAAAGATTACAGATTGACCTTTTCTACCCAATCTCTGATATTTGATGTTGGTTATCTCAATCGAGCTATGAATCAACTCAAAAGTCTTCTAATACCACCAATACCACCCTCAAAGTAGTTTCAATTAGAAAAACAAACTGTGCTGGGTGCCCGCCCAAAATTGGGTGCTGGGCGCCCGCCCAGATACGGCATCCCGTGTTTGGGTGCCCAGGTCGAGGCGTGTGAAAATTTTGTTTTGGGCGCCTAGGCACCTGGCGGATCGTTTTTTTAAACATTGTCAGGGACAACCCACCTAGTTGGTTCGCCCAGGCCTGGGCGGTGCGCTCAGACCCCCCATCCCACCTAGGCATTAGTCCACGAGGACATGGTTTGAAGTAGTGAGAAAAGATATGGGGATTTATTGCCTCAGTAAGGGTATGGCCCTTGATAGAGCAGAATCGTTGACCAGGATTCGTGGAGCTGGCCCCAAATAGTTGGAAAAAGGCTTTGATGATGATGATGATGCACAAATATATGTTTCTCCTACCCTCTTAGCATATTATTTCCATGTGATTTGTTTATTGGCTTTATGAAAAGTCATTCCTATATTGTCAATTCTATATATTTTCTATACCTATATTTTATAGCTATACTCATTTCAGAATTGTTACCTCTTAAAGGATACAACTGTGTTTGGAAAAATATGAGGCTCTAAAGAAAGACTCTCTTTGGCATAAAAGAGCTTTGGGAAGAAATTAATGCAGTTGCAAAGTATAAAACTACTCACATTGAGGGCTATAAGCCTTTCATACCCCTTAGCATGTATTATCATGAGAGGATACAACTGTATTTGGAAAAATATGAGGCTCTAAAGAAAGACTCTCTTTGGCATAAAAGAGCTTTGGAAAGAAATTAATGCGGTTGAAAACTACCCATATTGAGGGCTATAAGCCTTTCATACCCCTTAGCATGTATTTTCATTTGATTTTGTTGCTGGTTTGAAGGAATCATTCATGTCTAGTCAGCTTTGCATATTTACTTCACTTTTTAGTAAATTCATTTAGGATTCTTGGCTCTTCAAGGATATGGATTATCATCATAGCAACTGAGTGTGAAAGGTTGTTTCATTCAATGGTGAGATAAGTTTGACCTTACCATTTTCTATTCATTATTTTCTTTTTTTGAATGGTTTCCTTGCCTGAGATTTGGTTTAGTAGAAGACAACAAGGAACATTTCAAATGGCTCAGAAGCTTTCAAATTATAATTTGCAAATAAATATCGCACAGGAAATTCTGCTATTACTTTATTTTGATTGATCTAAGCATAAATTCTTTTAATGTTATGGAACATGTAGGACCTAAGTAGGTTTCATATTTCTTTATCCTGGTGTTTATCACAATGTTGTATGACCCATTCTTTGAATTTCTAAATAATCAATAAATAATTCCTAATAACATTCAATAATATTTGTAATACTATTTTGGTGAAGACATTATTGCATGACGTTAATACATAACATGTTGTAAGTGAGCAGATTTGAACCTACAAAGCATACTCACATGAAGCATGAATACTAACCTGTGCTGGTTAAACTATTAATAGTGAACTATTCTGAGGATTTAGCCCCAATAGGTGATGCCCTGAAACTCTGTAATGAACTTATCCAAATAAATGGAGGTCCATATTGATTTTGTTGGAAAAAGTAAGAAATGAATGTTTAGCACGTTTTCAGAAAAAAGATCTAGAACATGACTTTCTTAAGGAGAGACAAGATGCAGTGAATACGAGCCATCCATTATAGGAAAGAAAAATGGTCTTAGATTGAGGCCCTTGAGGCATTTCCTTAAACCCAAACTTTATAGTTCGCCTCAACATCACTAGATGAACACTTTAGAAAGAAAAGAAAGAATGTTTTTTGAGTTAGTAGAGTGTTAGATCTAGTTGCCCTATTAAATGTATTGTCTGCACTTATTGAGTCCAAAGAACTATTTTCGGAGTATTTTTTTCCACCTTTTCTTTTCATTTTTTTGTGCTTCTTCATCAAGTCCAAGAGGATGCATATGTGAAATTTAGTGCCAAAAAAATGCCCCCAAGGCCCCCAAAATAAGTGAGGGCAGACCAATGTAGCTGCTTTCCCTTGGGCTGACGAAATGTTTTCCCTTGTTTCTATAGGAAGAATCAGATTTTCGTGAAGCCTGTTACAGTTGGATGATATATAGATGTTCTAGATGCCCTTTTTCTTCCGTCATGAGCACTAGAGGTTGAATATCTAACCCAAGCTCAATAAGAGGGAACAATGTGGAAATATGAATAAACCAGTCCTCTATATTATTTACAAGGTTAGGTCAATTTGTTATTATCCAGGATCAATGATCAGGTATCTTTTTGAAGATTTAGTGGATGCATTGTTTGATGTCCCCCTTTTGGAGGGATCCTTATGATTTGGGGTGGGAAATCTCATGGTCTAATAGATGCTCTTTCCTCAATGTATTTACTTAGGGTTCATTGGTTAATGGCATGTATGGCAGTGGGGATCTTCAGCTGTTGGCTGTTGGTCTTGGTCCAACCTATTATGATCCAGATGAGTGTGGCATTCTTTGAGGATGTCTGCTTTGGCAATTCTCCATGGCATTTTACTATTCTGGTCTAGGATGGATTTTTTATTAGAGTTATTTGTGATCAGACCCAAGGTTTCTTGACTTCTTCGCCTCTAGTCTTTGAGGTGTTCAGAGGCATCCAAATTTTGGAAAGACTGATTCACAAAATTGTGAGAGGTGATAGGTCTCCAGCGAGTGGTTGCTATAAGTTTTACTACAATTTTAGCCCTTTTGGGAACTCCAGGTTTGTCCTTTTGTAGTTTATTTTGGTACTACCAGGGAATGGTTAACCATTCATTCTTTGGCTCAATCGACAAGTAACAAAAATATTTCTCTGGCTCAATTGGTCTTTGCAATTCTTCCCAGGCAGAGGTTATGGCCTTTCCAAGGGGCTCAGGATTTTCCTCTCTTTTAGCTGGTCCTTTGTTGGTTGAAGTGGACTCTTTCAATGTCATTAGCTGGGCAGTTGGTGACCCCTCATTCCTTTTGGTGCTTCGTGAAGGCGAACACCCTGATATCGCAGAGTATATTAGCAAAGGATCCAATGTTTTTGACCATATCCTTCATGTGGCAAACTAGAAAGCTGCTTTCTTTGCTTGTGAAGGTGTAAAGAAGCACACTGGATCCTTCCTACTAGGAGATTTAAATGAGTCCCATGTACATGCAACATACATGCACCCTTCTTTGGGTGTTCCTATGTTTAATATTTATCGAGTGTTTACCAGCTATGACGTTCCCATTCTCATTGCAACAAGGGATGAAAAACATGGGGAAAGAAAGATAATGCATACATATGACTAACAATGTTCGAAAATTAGGCCGCCCGACCGCCTAGGTGAAATTTTTTAAAAACGCCTTGGCGTAGTCTGGGAGGGCATTATGCGCCCTGCTTCTGGGTGCCCACCTTGGCAGTCAAGGTGCCGTCTAGGCGCTATTGTCTGGGCGCCTGCCTAGGCGCCGCCCTGTGACACCTTGCGGGTGGGCAGAAAAAAAACCCTCGATGAGGGTAAAAAATGTAATTTTTCCCTCTAAAAAAGGGCGAAAAGGGTTTTAGGGGGTATTCTAAACCCCCCCAATAGAAAATCCGTGGCCTTTAGGGAGAGAAAAACTCTAAAAAACCACTCTTTTGTGATTTATTGACAGATCGATAAATTTTTTATTTTTTCGATTTCTTTCCAAAACAAAGGCAATAGTTCGTGGGTAGATTTGGAACTTCTAGTAGTTGATTTTGAGAACTTTTGGCGACCCAATAGACGAGGTTTGTACCGACATCAATTTGATTTTGATATTTTTAAAATATTATCATATTTGAAAGAGGGTTTTGATTTTATTTTGCTACAACATATTATGTTATGAATCATGCGTTTTTTCTTTTACTTTTTTTTTTCTTTTACGATATATTTACATGTTTGTAGTTAAAAGATTGATTTTTTTGGTGATTAATTGAATTTTTTTCCTACTTGGACGATGTTTGGGGTTTGGGGGGGGGGGGGGGGGGTTTGATTTTGGTGAGGGACCTTGTCTTTGGGTGGCCGCCTAGGCAACCCGAATCCATCTTTTTGAACAATGATGATTAATAACATAATGTTACAAAATTACATATAATTACACAAATATTCAATACTTAAATTGCTCCTCCAAACACTTTGTTTCTGGCAAAGTCCAATAATTCATCAGCCCATTAATTTAAGACATATAAAGCAAACTGCATACACATGGAGCACATTAATTTGCTGGTGCATGAAAGTTGGGGGAAAGCGTAGAGAGGGCTTGCTTGTGGTGAGTGGTTTGGAAATGACTACAGTTAAGGAAGGAGGCAAGTGGGTTAAACATAAGGGAAAAGGAGGCCCCTTTCAAAAGATAAAATAAGGATCTTATAGCATCGAGATCATGTTAACTAGAAACCTGTTTCTTCTTAATATACATAAGTTTCTTATGAAGTAAACTCGAACTTCTACTTGGTCTTGTACATTCTACAAAGTGAATTGAATCCATGAACATGATCTGGAATTTCATCTTATTGATGCATGGCATACCTTTATATTGCAATGGTAGAATAAATCTGAATATAGCTTTTTGCAGTATTAATTGATAAAAGTCTACCTCTTTTTATATTTTTTGTTAATTGTCAGATGAGCTTTGGGTTCCAAATTGGAGTTCTTTTTATATTTTGATGTTCACCTACAAGAATGCAGAACATTTCAAACTTGTAGAACTTGTTTGTATAGAAAGTATGATCATTATTTCTGATGAGCAGAAGCACTTGAAATGTGGCGCAAGGAAAAGCTAGAAGAAGTCAAGAAACGGATAGTTCACAGAAAAAGTTCAAATTTTACAGACTTAACAGAAGAAACTGGTATGCTTTTTTTTTTTGAGTGGATACAAGCCCTCAAACTTTATAGTATTGTTTCTTATGTTTTGTTTCAGTCAACATTTTTTTTAAAGTTTATGAAATTCCTTGCGGATACCATTATGTTGTCTCCAGTCCTTCCCTGTTTTCTATAACTTCTCCATATTGCTTGTCATGCTTTTCTCTTTGTCAACAGAAACATTCTCAGAGATGATGACAAGAGTCCTGGAGTCTCAGTGGATCCCCTTACTGGAGGATATTGGTCTCTGGATGCCATTTGAAGTTCTAAACAAGGATGTCTCTAAACTGGAAGCCGAAGAGGAGCTAGGTAGTATTTTCTAGTATCACATTTTTTTTTTATTTTCCTTTAAACGGTTTTTTTATTACTTGGATTTGTCAAGTTTCTTACCATCATAAACAGATATTGCCACAATGCATTTGTAAATTATTTTTCCAATTTGGAAAGTGTTGCTTTACTTGTATAATATGCTATGTTTGCACGGAAATTATCTCATAACATATCCATGTGTTAGAAAGCTTGAATTTTTCATGTGTTCTCTGCAGAAGATGAAATCATAGCCGGTAAGCCCCCACCCCCAGAATGCCATGCTGAGAGGCATACAGATTATGATGGTGCTGCTGTTAGGTGGGGTCTTACACACCATAAAGAAAGTGCCGCTGACTGTTGTCAGGCTTGCTTAGATCAAGCTAAAAGAGCAAAACCTGGTGAGAAAAAATGCAATATATGGGTTTATTGCCCATCTGAAGCTGGTTGCTACTCCCCTGATATTTATGAACACAAGCATCAGGAGTGCTGGCTCAAACAGGTATGGATTCTTTTGACATGTGTAACAAATTATTTTCTGTAAACTTGCATTCTCTGATCACTTGCATGTCTGATATTTGTAAAGAAAAGCTATTGATGTGAACCCATTTTGTTGGTAGTTGCTGCAATGCGTATTGTTCCTGAAATATGCACATGTAGTATACTATGATTTGAACTAGAAATTGTTAATTTGATCTGAAATTATTTCGTACTTACATCAAGTTTCTAGCTGCTTGTCTGTGTGTCCTCTGAGATGTCTAATGTAAGTTGGATTTTCTTGTTTATTACATATTTCTCAAGTCATAATTTTATTATAAGAACTGCAAGGGAAGTTCTTACCCTATGGGTTACTGCCTCTCTTTTTTAGATGCATGGAAGTTGGACAAATTATTGTGGCTGAATGATTTATAAGATGAAGTTTGAGAATTAATCTCTAAAATATCTTGGAAACATTATACCTTTGAGTGTTCATTAAGTTTAAGGGATGAGTTATGTATCCTTTTAAACTCAATTGCTCCACTTTTCTGTAGATTGTGAAGTCAGGTGTATATATTAATAGGGCTTTCCTGAGGGTGACAAAACAGAAAACCATTGAGTGGACCTATATGGCTATATTCTTCCGACTACACCCCTCCCATGAATTTGGTAGGGATGCTTATAATTTGGTCACATTGCTTCTTAGTAAGTTATCTGATGAACAACATAAATTTGTGAAAGGTTTCCCTAGGTTACCTCAATGGAACTGCCTGCACCCTATACCAGAATTCCTTCGACAATGCCAGTATTGGAGGTCGATCATTGCTCCAACTTGTGAAGCCACAAGAACTCCCCAATTCACACTAATTGCTCTCCAATGGGCTGAAATGGTGTAGGAGAAATAGTTGTAGAAGCTACTACAAGGGTGTGCTAAAACTACAAGTGATGGTGCTTAAGACTCCACAGAAACTAGTTTATAACAAGAGCATAAGAGAGGGCTCAAAGGGGTATCGCAATGGTGACTAAAAGTGACTGAAATTGGGCTGGAAGAGGCAAGTTTCAGTCAAGAGCGACTGGCGTAAAGTTATATGAAGTCGCATAGCGAAACTATGCTAATTGGGGGAAAGAGTAATGGTCCAGTATGAGAGAGGTGAGCCAAGGTTCTACAATACACCATAGCTATAATCTAGCTTGGAGGCGGGGAGCTCTTATGGACACAGGGTGCAGGCTAAGGCAAGGTTTACACTCAAATTTAGTAGTGTAACATTACAATAGAGAGGTGAAGAGAAGGGGTACCTAGGCCCCTATTTGTGGACTTGAATTAGGGCTTAATGGTCTAGAATGTTCTTTTTAATCAAATTCAAATTGTATATAGACTATAGTTGTTGGAAACATTTGTGATTCCGAATCGTTTCTAGAATCGGAACAGCGGAATTGCGTGTATCAGAAGTTTCGAAATCTCGGAATCGCTGTCTGTACGATTCGGAAATGAGAAAAATAATTCTTACTATTCGGAATCGCGATTCAAAAAATTAGGAATCATGTTTCTTATTTGCAAGCATCGATGTCCCTTCCTGTTGGAATCATGTTTCAGACCTATATGGAATCACACGTGACCCCACTTATTTCGGTGGTTGCTAGAATCGCGATTCTTAAAAATATGAAATCGTGATTCCTAAAAATAAGGAATCGTGATTCCTAAAATTCTAGAATCGTTGTTCCCATCAACTTGGAATCAACATTCTCACCATTCTGGAATCGTGATTCTCCCCATATTGGAATCAAGATTCTCCCCTTACTCAAATTGCGACCAATTCCCTCTGGTATATGAGAGAAGTATTCAAAAAATATATAAATTTACCCATTACTACAAGATCGAATTTTGGTATGTATATTCTCAACCCAAGACTCCAAGTACTAATGTCAACCTTTATGATATCTTTGTGGACAATCCCATACAATGGACTCGATCTACTGATAACCCTATTATGTCTACAAGGTCTGGAGCTAGTCTACGACATACAAGGAGTGAGAACAAGGGCAAGCTTCCTTTATCTCCTTTTCTTGAATTATAAAATAAGTATATGACATAGTAATTCTTCTTTGTTAAATGTAGTTTTGAGTCTTTTAACTTTTAAAAATTGAGTTGTTCAATTTTTCATCAATTTCTCTGATATTTAATGATTAATTTAACCTAAAAGACCACATAGGGCACTTCGCTCATATCCTTATTATCTTCTTATTTTACTTAAAGAAAAACATTTTTATCCTCTTAATCAACTTGAAGAAATGATGGTACCAATCATATATTAAAAATTATTACATTAGTAGTTTAGTACCCACATCATTTGCCAAACATTATTGAATTTGAAGTAACATATTTTTTTAGTATTATTTATTCTTGGTAAGAGTTCTTAGAAGGTAACATGGAATGAAGGACGGAAATTAGTAAATAAGAAAATAAAAAATTTAACATATTACTTATATTTAAAATTTTGATTTTATTGCTGTGTGCAACAACTTCAAATTCTCTCACGCTCTCATACATGTCGCGCTCACTCATGATTGAGCACACATCGAGGGGTTTTTGCTCTCCCTATGCTCACATATTAGTCATATCTTAAATTTTGATTTTATTGTCGTGTGCAACAACTTAAAATTCTCTCACGCTCTCATACATGTTGCACTCACTCATGATTGAGCACACATCGAAGGTTTTTGCTCTCCCTATGCTCACATTCCTTCCTGACAATATGGATTCGCAATTTCTTAATACTTTGAATCAATGTTTAGCATAAGTAGAATCACATTGTTGTATAGCAAGGAATCACGATGTTTGCGATATAGAAACTTGATTCCAAACAACATGGATTCGCAATTCCAAAAATTTGGAATCAACGTTTCTCATAAGCAGAATCGCATTCTTGTGTAGCTAAGAATCGTAAAATCCTCTATATGGAATCTTGATTCAAGCAATCCAGGAATCTAGATTCCGAAATTAGGTGGAATTGCGTTCTACAAAAAATGGGAACGTGATTCCTTTCTTTTAGAAGCGACTTTCACTCGGAGAAACACCGAATCAAGATTCCAAAACCGAATCGCTACCCTCATAGGCGATTCGGGTAACTATAATATAGACTATAGAGTAATTCATATTTTGGATTATAAATCGTATTTTAATTAACAAATTAAAGCATTTTTTCTAAAAAGATGGTATTTTTTTGAGACCATATGCATGCATGTAAAATATGGCAATAAATTATATTCATAAGGTCATATGATAATTATAGTAATATATTAAAAAAAATCTTTATAATAAGACTTTTATGCTCTAAAGGACATGCATAAAGATGTGCATGTCCTTTATTGTTACTTTCTAATTATTGCCTTCTAGATAATAAATGCACCATTAGGCATTTATGGCATTTGACTTTAGTTAGTAGATACAATTAATGAACATATAAGTAAAATATATTCCATAAGTATGCATGCTTTAAATGGATTGCGTGGTGGTTATTACTTTTAATGCCATCGCAAATTGTCATGGGTTCAAGTCACACAAATGCATTTTTTAATATACAACAAAAAATGCACTGCATGTCCAAAACATCGACATGTAATGTCAAAGTGTCGATACGTCGTGTCTGATTGATGACTTATACGACATGTACAGACAACGTGCCGGTCATGGTCTAGACACGTGTTCACATGTGGTGCTAGAGAAACTATGGAGTGTCAAGGTAACACTGGTGAAAAGATGCTTCATTCAAGCCATTCAAACCTTGTTGACCTATCATTAATTAAATGCTGAGATTCACATCTTATTCGCTATTCAATCCTAATTTCCCTGTAATTTAAAACTATACTCAACACCATGACTTGATTGCTAATCAACCTTTTGAAATAACTTTTCGTATATATATTGCGATGCGCCCAGGTCCTCAGAACTGCCTAGGCGGCCGCCCAGGCATTGGGCGGTCTGCCTTTTTGAAACACTGTTAGAGACTAATACACTATGGACCTGTTTATGTTTTTCACTAAATTTTTTATGATTTGAAGTTTTGAATATGTTTCAACATTCATACATATATATTTGCATGAAAGAGTTAGTTAGAATACATATAAATGTAAAACAAATCCAAAATTAACACAAATAATTGAATATATGTGTGTTGGGACAATACATATATGCATAATTGCGGGGATCTACTACTTTGGTAGGCATCCTTTCTAGGATCTTAATTTTGTGGCTCTCGGCTTAAGGATCTCGATTTTTAAATTTTGGAATCTCAATCCCTATTATTAAGTATCTCGATTCCTGCTGTTAGGGATTTCGATCCTAACCTTAAAGACCAAGACAAGCACCAAACTGATGATTTTCTTTGTTTGTAGCTAGTTAGCATCACAACTATACTTTTAATAAGTTGTATTGCTTGCTTGCTATAAATAATGAGATCCCTTCATTAAAAAGCATACATAATCCTAGATTATCTTACACTTTAAGGCCAGTAGCAACATCCCCAAAAAGTTGGGATCAAGATTCCAAAAAGTTGAGATCAAGATCCCCATAAGGTTGGTATCTCGATCCCTAACAATTGGGGATCTCAATCTCATGTGCATTACATAGACTACGTTAGCAACCATAGGGATCTTCTAGCATTTCACGATCCCCCACTCCCGATCCCGATTCCGGTACCATTCCAACAACTATGCATATGTTTATATTTCTGAGATTTTTTCACCTTAGGGCACTTGAGGTTCTTGGTGCTTGCTTAGGCGCTGGGCGTTAGGCCGGCCGCTTAGGGGCTGCCTAGCATTTTCTGAAACTTTGATCCTTTAGTAACTCTCCCATCTATTCATGAAGTCTATAATTGATTTCTATAGGTGTATTCATCAGTTTGACCCCCAACATTCTAGACTGTTTTAACAATATCCCACACATATTTCCTCTCAGAGATAGTGATTCCCTTCTTTGACATGGCCACTTCAATACCCATCAAATATTTTAGTGGACCTAGATCTTTT